TCGTATAGAGCGTATTGCACTTCCTGAACGAAGGACTCATGTTCTCCTTCCAAATTGATCGCACAAGCCTGTTACGAAGTCAGCGTTTTAGCCTCTTGTAGTTTCAGTTGGAGGATTGCCACCCTTCCGCTGATAGGCTTCCATTCAATGACTCTGTCAGCCGAGTGGGGTTCTGCCAGAACATCATCAGCGGCCTGCAAGCGCGTCTTTATGTTGACACCAAGCAGAATAGCTCCCATCTGCAGACGTTCAGAGTTCCCGAGTCTTGTCGCATCGTTGACAAGAGTCCAGCTATGTCGAGTCGGTATCTTGCAACTTCATCTTTTATTTCCTGGTCTTTCTGTGTGAGTGGGACATGTGCCCATATGGGATTATGTTGTCGTACTGTCGGTTTCGATGAGAATGAATTGATTCTGAAAAGAAAATTTTTTACGTAGAATTTGGTCGTTGTTATGGAACTGGCGTTGTTTTCACTAACGTACGTAAAGTCGGTTCGTAGTTAGCATATTGCTAGCAGCGAACCGTACTGTCGTTTAGTCTCTAGTTTTCTCAGTCGTTTTCAGGATTGAAATAATGGTTGCTAGCTGGGTGTTTTGATTAGGTACGATGTGGAGTCAGCTCATTCAGTGAGTCCTTGATTCATTGGTCCATTAATTCCTTTGTTTGTTCATCCAGTCATTCATGTTTCAAACTTCAGACTCAGGCACCTCATCGTGATGTTAAAGTAGTAACGGCCACAGCGCCGAAGCACGGCAGGGCAGGTGCCCTGGCAGCTTCTAGCAAGGCGAGGTGACGCCGCACTGCATATTTGGCTGGCTAATTATGAGTGGTACTACTGACACTGGACTAGCGAGTGGTAAAATAACAGGTCCAACGGTCATGAACAGAAGAAGGAAAGGATATGAACCCCAGTACCCTGCGCGCCCTTGGGACCGTCCTCCGGCGGCGGGCCGGTATCTGAAGGACGAGGGATTGCTAAGAATTTCAGAATGCACCATGCCGCCGAAAAGAAAAAGAAATGGACCTGACCTCTCGATATGCACCTACAATTTTAGGTCGCTGTCGAAGGATGACCAAATCAACAATCTCCTCCAGGAGATTAATA